CGTCTGTGACCCTATGTGTGCGTCTGTGACCCTATGTGTGCGTCTGTGACCCTATGTGTGCGTCTGTGACCCTATGTGTGCGTCTGTGACCCTATGTGTATATGTGGCCCAGTGTTTTTCTCCCAAACCGGATGGGTGGTTTATGGTAACGGGCAAACATTAGGAATGCATAAATGCCAAATATGGGTCAATGATATGGTTGGAACCTGACTGTTGTTCCAGCTGTCTGAATTAAGTCCTCATATCTTACAGGGTTCATGAGGAGGCCCTGTCAGGAGGCTCAGATCCAGCTCTGATCTTCAAGCCCCAGAGAAAGCCAGAAAGTATCAGCTGTCTCATACCTTCCCAGACACGAAACGAGAGAAGCCAATTCGTCAGATTAGCTTCACTTCATTGGTGTGGCTGCTGCGAGTCTCCTGTGCCAGTTAAAAGGCAGAATCTGAAAGAGATTCATATTAATTCTGCTAACAATAAGAGTAACAGACATTTTTTGGCAATAAAACATTGACCATTCTGCCAACACACTTTTACCTAAATAGCTGTAAATTTAGACTGTATAGTATGATTCTCCAGCAGTTGCTGAGAACCACAAGCCACATTAACTTACAATAATGCAAAATCTCACACATTATTTAAAATTCTCACCTCATTCAAAGCATTGTATGCAAAGAGTTTAGGTACTGTGGATCTCATATTACAAATGGACACCCTCAGTTTAAAAACATAATAGTTACAATCCCATTTCTTACAATCTCCTATAATGTCATGTAAAGAAATTTGCAACACACACACACACAGACACACATACAGACACACACACACACAGACAGACACAGACACACACACATACAGACACACACACATACAGACACACACACACACACACACACAGACACACACACACATACAGACACACATATTTCTACACTCTTCCATTATAGGAGATATATCTGCTAACTTACCAAGATGAGTTACATACTAACATCTTATGATATCTGAACACACCTGCAAAACAAAAATGAGTTTGATACTGTAAGAACAATGGAATAAGAATATATAAAATGACACTTCATTTATTCTTTCTGTCATAAGCAAATCTGTGAGATCAAATTATAAAAAACTAATTTTTAGCATATTAATGATGCAGACAACGTGCTTGCAGGGTGTTTTACAGTCTATGTCACAAATATAACGCAATACTAATATAAAGTTGAGCCCCCAAATATTGCAATATAACACAAGCCCATCCATGAAATAATTATTAACATGCACATTATATGTCACACAAAATCTATAACCTAAAACAGTGGTCATTGTGCAATACACAAATGTCCCACACTGTTATTCTCACAGCAAGTATATTTCTTCTGCTATGTTTTTCGTGAGATAGGTTGTTGAATTTCCATTTCCTTAGTTTAGATCATTCTGAGCAACTCATAATAGATTAATTTTACATGCATAATGCAATAGTAGAATTGTCTTATCGGACTCCTAATAGATAATGGGTGCAAGTACCAAATCACTCAAGCAAATGTAATGACAGCTGTATAATTCTCTCTTCCATAAAAAAGTGATTTGTGGTGGTTAGTTTTGACGGAAGGATATACTTTTGAATTCTATAAGTAGTGGCATAGAAAAAATAGGCCTACTAACACAACATAGCCACTTATCGCAGTGGTAGAATTCAATGCGGTCAAGCACAAGAAATTTAAAGTCGATCAATACCTAAATTTTAGTGAGAACCACTCATATAAGTACATTGTATATAATTAAACACCTGCCACCTTCTTCCACAAAACTTCAAGTTTTCCACTCAACACCACAGCATACATTCAGCTGATGAACTTACGCTTGTTTAGGTTTCGCTTTCTTTCTCATTAGTTGGGCAACGCAGTTCTGTTAATGTCAGTACCCACAATACAGTGTCTCCGGTGTATACTTACGGTAAACGACATCTGTAATCACGATGCCGTACAATTAGTGGCTAGGGTAAAGACAATCATATTGACGAGTAATACAACTACATTAATTAGTTCATCGTCATTCCAATGGAAAAGAAATTTAAAGTGGGTCCGTAAACACAATAATTAAGAACTACAAGCGCAACCCAACTTTTTCCCTTACCTGATTATAAAACGCCGTAAAATACAAATATAGACATTGGCAGACCGCAATCCGATGACCGCAGGTTATATTAAACGGATGTGATCGTTAAAAAAATCGCGATTGCAGTGCTCACTGACTGTGGAGGTCCGGACCAGGTGCTTCCATCTCTGTTTACCAAACTGCATTCTGGGACACGGACGTCACTTTTCCCTCACGCATTTACGACAGCCGGTTGAATCGACGGGAGGATGAAACTGGGACCATTTTGGCTCAGCATCCGCCTTTCCGCCGCGAACGCCTTAACTGAACCTGGAGCCAACGTGGCGGAATAAGCGATGTAGTTTCTCACATTTAAGCACACGAGAACTATCATTCTCGACCAATCAGCCCCGTCGAGCTGCGCACGTAGCTAGCGTCCATTAAGGGAATGTCTGTCAAAGCGGACAATAAAGTTTTATTTGAAGCAGACGGGCACCATTGAACAAATGGGGGCTGTTACAGATGGTGAGTAACTTTGATCTGACTCTGCCATTAACCAATTATTCCGATTGATCTTTAGTTTATTAATTGGCAGCTGGATACGGTGGTTAAAAATCTGTGTGCGTGTTATGCGAAGAGGGATCTTGAACAGTAAACCCAGATTAGTGGTCTTTCATTTGGCAGCTAGCCACACGGTTAATAGTAATTTAGCATGAGTACGTAAGGGTCCTCTATGGAAAAAAATGCGGGCTAGTTTGTTTTATTAATTAGGTGTCTAACAACAGTTCGCTATTACTGAATAGTTGCACAGCCTGCTAGTTAAAGTAATAATCGTAGTTGGCAAGGTGGCGATATGGTGATTTTAAATTGCCCCTACGGGTGTGTGATGTGCTCACAGGAACATATTGACCTTTTTTGTTGATTTACAGACGAAGTTATTCGGAAACGCCTCCTGATTGACGGCGACGGAGCTGGCGACGACCGACGCATCAATGTTCTCCTGAAAAGCTTCACAAAATGGTGCAACTCCGGTGGATCACCCGAGGAAGGGTAACATAACTGGAAGTGTATTTATTTACATATCCAGCCCCCCCAGATTCGCACTTGGAATTTTTTACAGTTTCCCTTGTAATGGGTTTGCTGTGTATCTTGAGATATGAGAACCTTTGCAACCAAACACAATGCAATTGTATATTCCACCCACAGTATTTGTATCCCATTGGCTGGCTGGGAATATTGGTCTCTACCATAGTATTGATGTCGTTAATCCTCATGCATCTCTTTGCAGGTTTACGCAATACCAGCGGATGCTGGGAACTCTGGCACAGTGTGAGTTCTCAATGGGAAAGACTGTTCTGGTCTATAATATGAACCTCAGGGAAATGGAAAACTATGAGAAAATCTATGCTGATATTGGTAAGTTGAGTGTTGGAGCCTCGTGAATAATATGCAGACTATCACTGTATTTTTGGCCTTTTCTTAAAGCTAAACTTTTTTCCCTGTTACAGAGCAAAGCATTACATCTGCCCATGACAAGATTGCAGAATGCAAAAAGGAGATTCTCAGAGCCAAGCGCATCCGGAAAAATCGACAGGGTACGATGGTGCCCGGTCATGCAGGGGTCATTAAACAGATGACTGTTTTTATTTATATTTTATATTTATATTATATTGATAAAGCTGTATAACTGAAAAATATGGCCTCATAACCTGAAGGGTATTTAAAATGTTCCAGTTAAACCATTATATCTGGGTTCCTTCATATTATGGAAAAGTATGGATTTTGGTGTGAATGTCTGTGGAAAAAGGAAAAAGTGTGGAAATATTCCCCTGTTTCCAGACTATTGCAACAAATTGGCCTACTGTGGACTCCAAAAAAAAACAATTAACTTTTTTCTTTAGAAGGACTCAAGGTTTATTTTCCTTTATACTCATACTGAGTACAATGAGATGATCCCTTCTTCAGATAGAGTAACGACATGATGAATATTCAGTAACTGAACACAGGACAACACTTACTTAAAATAAATATATGTATAATTCTGAATGACTTTGCAAACCACCAGCACTAACCCCGTCCCCACGGTCAACATTTATATCTGCATATTTCTATTTATACTTATTAATGTTTGAGATGTAGTTGCGTTGTGAGCCAGTTGTCAGTGCCCGATCATGCACACTGCACACGCTGAGGGGTGACGTCCCAAACCCAAGGGGGGGGGCTGCGGCTTTCATTAATCCCGGGAAAGGAATACTGATGTAGGCTGCCTCCCCATTTCCAGCACTTACAATGGGAGGAACATGAGTCCTCATCTGATTGGCCTGATTAGGGATCCCAGATGTGGACAGAAAGTAAAATGCAAAGTATATGTGAAGCTGTTTGACATTTTGAACACGGATGAGTAGTTGGCTACGTGGCAGGCAGAAGCGTTGGTGTCTAGTCATAGCCGGGGGGGAGTGGCAAACCGACAGGGTGGCATCTTTTGGGGTGGGGTGGGGTGGGCGACTTTGCAAACCACCCACACTATTCTCCCCCTGCCGACATGTATTGGTTTCACCCCAGTAAAGTCTGCAAAAGTATCTAATTTTAAAATGGAAAGTGAACAGGGAGCCTGTCGTTTGAAACAGGTCGTCTTGTATTTGTGCATCATTGACAGTTTTACTGAATTTACTGTAACTTGTTCTAAAATGTTGCTCCTCTTGTGTATTTCTGGCTTTATTCTATAAATCTTCTCTAAGTGTTATTTTTAAAAGAGGAAACATGTTTTTATAGAATATGACGCCTTGGCCAAGGTCATCCAGCAGCATCCAGACAGACACGAAACTATGAAGTGAGTATGTCCTCTGCCAGGGAGCCAGTCACCTTCTCACTCTTGGTGTACCTCTAACCGGGTGAATGCTAACTAAGCAAGACACTTCGCCAGGCAACTAACCAGCTAATCCAACTAATCCTGGAGGGCTAGGGGTGTCTGCATTACATGCATGGCCTGCTTAAATATATATATTTAGTATAATTGTACTAATTTAGAAATGCCCACGGGTGGAGAGTAACCCAAAGGCAGGCTACTCCCCAGCTAGAGTGACTTTGAATGTCATCTCTGACAGAGTGAGGGATTGCAGCAGGGAGTAACGTCTGCGTGTGTCTGCTTGTGAAAGTGTTTTCTCATATTTTATGAGAGCTGTGCAGTGGAGTGCAGTGCGGGTGACCGGTGTCACTGTCTTTCAGGCAGCTCAAGGCGCTAGACAAAGAACTGCAGCAGCTATCCCGCATCAAGGAGAACGTGGAGGACAAGGTGACGTAGGGAGCCCTGGGCGCCCCCTCACTCGCGGCTCCCCTCACCTGCGGAGATTTAACCCTTTGTCTCCCCACCTGCAGCTCGAGCTGAGGAAGAAGCAGTTCCATGTGCTATTGAGCACCATCCGCGAGCTGCAGCAGACCCTCGAGAGTAAGTAGTGCTCCTCCTCTGCTGAGGGGGCACCCTGCTTTTGGGCTGTGACCTCGAGGGCACGTCGGCAGGGTGTGAGTTCGGCCACCTGCAAGGCCTGCCTCCACAGGCCTGCCACTCGGATGCAAGCTCGTTCTGTAAGCAGCAATAGCAAAGGAGGAGAATATCAGGGCTGAAATATTTAATTTCCCGGTGGGTGGAGTTCTTAAAATCACACATGGGAGACATGCCCAGTCTGGCTGGCTTGGGACTGGGAATCGTAAAGCATGTGTCTCTGGTGAGTTCTGCCTTCCACCACTGCCTTGCTGAAAATGATTTTGGTGTCTGAGCCCAACCCCCCACCCCGGTCTGGGGACTCGGAAATGTTTTGTAATTAGTGCAAGTGCAGTGCGGTATGTATGATATTATAGCTCTCAGTAATGTGCCTTTGCTGTGTCTCTGAGTTGGTTCTGTATTTCAACAGATGATGAAAAGCTAGAGAGCGATGAATCCCAAGACTGCACCATGGAAAATGGACAGTAGACCCCATGCGTTGGTTATGACCCCCCCCACCACCACCTTTCTGAAATATTGTTGCTACGGATTTGCAAGATCCTCGTCAAGCTATGATTATGCCACATTTGATGTTTTTATAGTTTGTACTTTTTGTGTATAAATAAAATGCCTTTTTTGTCCATCCTTTCATATATTTTTGGCTGAGCTTTGGACGGTTATTGTCTCCTACATGCTGATGTGGATCCAAATACATAATTTGTCCAGACACTACATAAGTAGGGCCTCTAGGTTGGAATGACAAGCAGTAAATAAATAATCTTGCAGAAATACAATATGGGATCCCTGTGTTAATTGATACTGAAACGATACATTTTATTCTTTACATCGGACATGTTTAAAAAGGGACTGAGGGCTAGTAATCAAGGGCATTCTTGCTGAAATGTTAATAATTGAGCAGTACACTGTTCTGATAGGAAAGCACATTGTATTTTCAAACACTGCAAGCCTTAAGAGCAGACTGATGGGCTGATAGAACCAAAAATAGTTCACCGAATAGGTAACCTACCTTTTTTAACGCTCATGCATCATTTTTAACGATGATTTTTGTTTTGGTCGCCAAGCCCCGTATTAAAGCCTGAATGTGTCTGGGATGTTTGCTGCTGCAGCGTGTCTCTACTGGGCTGTTCTATGCAGGTGTTTTAGCTGTTTTCAAACTGCTATTATGTATGTGAAACTAAAGCTAAATGAAATGAAACGTGGAGGTGCTCCGGAGCCTGAGACGTGTTCTTGTCTCCTAGCAGCACCAGCAGATGGCGCTTGTGTTCCTCCAGTGGTGTCTGTGCACTGCCTTTCTAGAGACCCTCTGGAACTGGCTGCTGCTCTGCAGAATCTCCCCGCCCACTTCCTGGCACTGCTCCAGCTCTGACTGGCGCCGCGCTATCAGGCGTGTGGAGCTGTCCACCACGGCGTCGATTAGGCCGTCCACCTGAGGGTGGTGATAGAGGGTTAAGCTCAGGCTCTCTCAGTGCTCTCTGGGCTCTGACCTTCAGCCACTGGCTGGAGGAGGAGGAGGAGGAGTGGGTCCGTCCTGCTATGCTCTGCTCAGATGAGACATTTGTGGGAGGTGAAGCATTAACGTTCTTACAGGAAGTGGACCACAGCCGCGGCTCTCGCCTGAACATCTGCATCGGGCATTTTAATCATGGTGGGGTTAGGACCCCCCAGGCCTCATCCTTGGCCTCACCTGGCCCTGCAGCTGCTCTACGCTCTGCCTTGATGTCCCTCTGCTTCTTTCGGCTGGTTTCCTCCTGGACTTTCCTCTCCAGAATGCATATTTCTTGTTTCCCTTTTTATCTGCTACCTAGAAAAAGGATATGGAACTCCAAAAGGGATCGGATCGGCCGGAATAGCGGGTGGGCTGGCTGACACTGACCTACAGACGTACCTTCCGGGTGTGTGTGGCTGGCCTTGAGACAGAGACCCTCTGGAACAGTCGCCTGGACCTTAGCACCAGGTTCGATCCAACATATTTCTGTCTTTCTTCCTCCACCAGATCCACCTGCATGGCGGCTGGTGTTCATGTGGACAAATAAACCCAGAAGCCACTGTCAGCGCCCTCGAGCGATCAGGCCTCAAGAAGACGTTAAACATGAACGCTGAATCTAAACGCTAAATTACCGCATTAACCCTAAATTACCCCTGTCTGATTAGCGCCCCCTCCCCCTGGGTGCAACAGTTGTTTTTACTGGCTTGTTGATTGGCTCTCTCCAACTAATTAAAAGAGATATAATTTGGATTACCATTTCACTGGGCCTGCATAATATGCCAGTTCTTCCTGTTTGTCCCACTGTATCAGTGTTAATGCCCAATTATAATTAGTTATAATTAGTTGCCGAAGATGGAACCATGTACTGAAGATAGTGGCCAGCTGTCACAGCCCTTCCTACTGTCATCCCCATATCTCCTCGTGCTTCTAGAGAAAAATGCTCTGGCTTCAGAATTGCTTTAGTTTTCATAATCTGGCCTCCACTTGAAATGGATTGGGCAGCTTACTCTAGGCAATGAAATTTAATAAACATGATCGTCAACACATTCAGCCTTTGCTGGTTTTGTGCATTGTAGTCTTGTTTGCCAACTGTAAGAACCAGAGAAAAAAAACAACAAATAGCAGTTCAGTTTATATAGCACTAGGTGGCGCTGTGTCCACTTCAAAGGGGCTAAATTCCACTTATTTCCTTGTAGGAGATCATCTTTGGGGTATTATTATTTTTAAAAAGTTCCCTCAGGAATTTTAACATTTAAACGAAATAATCAGAACTTAAGCCCTTGCACTGCATAGGCAAAATGCTAATTTATGTAAATTCAACTCTGAGGTGTAGCTGCCTGTGCTTCTTTCAGAGATTTAAAAGATGAGCTTAAATGCGGCTTTAGACGTCACCAGCGGCTCGGTACCTGAACACAGTAAAGCCAGCAGGCTCCGGCACAGCTTTTGTCCTCTGTTTGTGCTCAGAATGTATTCTGCCTTTTAAATTCATCATTCTCCAGAGTGGGAAACCTCAGAGAAAAGCAGTTCAACCTTGGGTCTGTAAATCGTTACCTTCTCAATTGAACAACACAAAAATTTTCTAACAGGACCTCATATTAGGTTTACGGGCGGCCCTACCTTTGGTCTGTTTTCATTTGTAGGATCTTGGTTGAAAACCCCTGGTCATTACGGACCTAATGAACATCTGCTAACAGGCCTTTGCTGGTGCTGCTGCTTGTTGAATCATCGAATGACTAAAGACCTGTGGCACTGGCTCCTCCCCCTGGTCTCAGGGATGCAGAGGGCACCTCCTAGATGGCGATGTGGCGGATCAGGGCTTCCTCTCGCGACCTGGCGCTCACCTGCGCGTCCTGAGTCCCGGCGGAAGGGACACAGTTTCCGGAAGCATCTCCGCAGCCTCTTAGTGGCGTCCTGTGGCCTGAGTGTCGGGGGATTCCCAGCAGGAGGGGACACTAAGCAGCGGACTCTTCGGAAGCCACCTGCTGCTTTCGGCGACAGTTTGCTCAGGAACCTCGGAAGAGAAGGTCGCGCTCAGTACGCACTCAGGAACCGCCAATCCGCAATCAACAAGAGTCAATGGCCTGAAGTCGTTACAGGTTTTTTTACTGTTTAAAAATTAAATGTCTAAATGGCTTTCAAAATTTTCAGCAAAAACTAAGAGTAATAGAACTGTGAGAGGATTGGTGTGGGGGTCAGATGGGTGGGTAACTGGATTAAAAATAGATACTAAATCCCAGTCTACTGTTAATCTGCTTAATTCCTACATATAAAATGTATGTATTTTCTTTATTCCAAATGCCAGAATTTATTGGGGTGACATTTGTATTTGTACCAATGATATAACTTGGAGCTTGAATCTGTTATAGTAGCCCATTTGTTATAGCTGCCCATTTCTTATAGTAGCCCATTTTTGTGTAAAGTGATGACATACCAAACAGGCAGCTAAAGAGCAAAGTATTTAACAGATTGTCCATCCATCGATCTTTCAAGCACTCACGCTGGTCAGGGTCGTGGGGTATATTACCATTGCATTTCATTTTCCATTTACTATTTTTCTCGATTGCTTTGGCATGTTTTATGAAAAATACTTAACATTCGCAAGACTATAGGACCATTTCTCAGAACACTTCATGCATACAGTACAACACCATAGTTTAGCTGCAAAAGCCTGTAATTTACCCAAAACAATTAGCTCCTTTCTCAAAAGCAACTAATTCCAGCAATGAATTAGTCAGTGCCACCAAAATCAAAAGTACAATCGGCATTGTTTTAACCATGAGAGTCAAAATGCTTACAGTAGATATACTATCAGTATATCAGTGTAAGTATGGTCCTGATCGCCACGATTCTGAATGATAGTTGTTTCTGACTGTCATTGTCACTGGCTGATTATTTTTCTTTAGTAAACTGACACTAGTTCATGCCAAAGACACCAGTTTCAACACTGCAAAGTGCAAGTGAAAGCACTCACATGCACATGTAACTTCTGCAGATCTCATGACACAGAACAAAAAAAGTCACACAGCACTGTATAATACAAAAAATAATAACATGACAATACAAGAACAACAAAATCATGTACTGTGGGAAGCAAAAACAATGCCGTCCCTCTGCAATTCAAAGAATACATTTTTAATCATTTTGAAAGGTTGGTAAACTGTTTTGCATGTGGTGGTTAACAAGATGATCACATACTTATATAGTTTTGGGTGTAAAATTATTACAGTGGGGAACTACATAATCTATTTTGACCAACGAGACCAAAGCAACTAAAAATTCTGCCAAATGATGGCAATTGTACAAAAACATTTGCATATATGCACTAAGACATTTAGGAATCTGTGTGAAGCAATGATAAATGATGTTCTGATGAACAAAGTGGTACAGAAAGCTCAACAAATGCATTGTCCTGACCCCGGACAGGGATCTACAGCAGGCTGTATGAGGGTGCATTAACATGATTAAAAAGCAATAACGTGTTATATTTTTTTAATTGATCACAGGCATTAATGTGTTAACTTTGACACCCCTAACTCAAACATTTGGAACTTTGTGTGAAGCAATGAGAATTGATGTTCTTTTGTACAAAAATGACATCATGATGTGGGGATTACACTACTTGTTTTGCAAATGTTGCCTGTCATTTGAGGAGTGCTACAAAGTAATCAAGAAAAACTGTAAAAGCACAGTTTGTGGCATTTGTTAAGTGTGAGGTATGATTTGTGGCTGCAGCAGTGACTGGCGGAGGCCATGCGGCTTTTCCCAGCGGTACTACCTGGACATCCTCATCCCACTGCTCTGATCTGCGGACCCTCTCTCCGTCCCCTTGGCCGGGCAGCAGGACCCTGGTTTCCTCCAGTGCTGAGCAGCCCCCGGGCTGCCCACTTTTGTGGCCCAGCATGGGGGCTCTTACCTCACCTGTGTTTGCTTGGGATCATCTTCAAATTGGCTGAAACCCACATTAATTTGACAGTAGGTGCTAGATGCATCTTGACACGCCTTCACTAAAGTCGTGCATGCCTGGCAAAGAGCTGCCACTGCAGACTGCAGCTGAAACCTTATAATGTGCACAACGACGGGCAAAACAAAGCACTTTAAAAGCTAGGAATGTAATACGTCATGCTTTTTGGCATCAGGAGCCCAAATGTTTTGTTTCGTGCTGCTTTGAGCTCCTTTTAAACCAGTGGTTACAGTTAATGCATGAGCAGTAAGCTGTGCCAGTAATTAGACACCAAGCACAAACTCTGCATTCAAAGCCATCTGTGCTGTGGATGCAGACTGTAATGAATGGAACAGAGGGATGAGGACGCCGGCCTGTCAATATGACTACACCCTGTCAATATGACTACACCCTATCAATACAACTACACCCTATCAATACAACTACACCCTGTCAATATGACTATACCATATCAATATGACTACACCCTGTCAATACGACTACACCCTGTCAATACGGCTACACCCTTTCAATACGACTACACCCTGTCAATATGACTACACCCTATCAATACAACTACACCCTATCAATACAACTACACCCTGTCAATATGACTACATGCAGCATCTTCCAGCAGCAACATCCAAGTGATGATATTTAGTGTACCTCACACATTAAAAGGATCCTGTGTAATCCACCCTTCTGCTGACAGCGTCAAATTTCCGTCTCCCATAACCTGGTTTGGACAGCATGTAAATCCTCCTTTTTGACATCCTGGGATTTTTGCTGTCCACTGTGGTGAGTCAGTGAACATCCCTGCGGCCTCTTGCCTCTGTAGCTGCAGCTGCTGCCTTACACGTTCCCCCCACTGTCTTGTGGCTTCCCACCAGGGACTCTCATTTCCATTCACAGGCTAACAGCATGTGGTCTGCATGTGCTGATGGGCTTCCTATTCCCCATAGTGGTGTCCCGTGGCCCCCAGGCTCACTGGGAGCCTGTACTGGTGAAGAAGCATGTCCTAGGCTTCCATTAATCAGTAATGTAAATGTCAGAACGAGCTGTAGCCCTGTACCTACATTCACTGGTTTTAGTTTCTGCCTAGAATAACTGGATGTCTACATTAGACTGAAAAGACCTTTGCAATGATTCCTCCGATATGTCCAGTGAATCACATCCAGCACTGAGATCAGCTAGAATGTCCTGTGGGGTAAATGGCACCTGTATGTAGGCGAGAATGAATGAACACATCTTCATGTAGCACACTGCATGGTGAAAGATTATGTCGCTGGTTGGATGGTGATTACGGGCTTTTGTGGTCATATTTCCCACGAAGCGCATGACTCTGTCTGTCAGCAGCTTGCTTGAGTGTGGGTGGCCTCACACCAGCAGACATTGGTATTTGGTACAAGAATACTGACTAGTACCAGCTGGGGTCACTAGCACGGTCCCACACACCTGTGGGGTTCTGTGTGTGTGGGGGGGGGGTCTGTGTTTGGTCCCAGGGGCCACCTCTATTGCGGATGGGAGAGCCAATGATCTTTGCAATAAAACTCCCATAAAGTGGCACCATCAAACAGGTCAGGACGCTGTAGGGGGTGGGTGTAGATGCCTTCCTAGAATCACCCTGAGAGCTCTCTCTGTAAAAATGTAAATCAGTAATTATATTTGCACTTGTGGTTACTATGAGAGATCTCTCAATAAAGTAACACCGATTCTGCAGAAAGGGGACACCTCTAGTATTTTCTTGCCCCTTAGATCTATGGTGCTCATTTGGTAGCAGACAGAGGTGAAATTTAGCACAGCACTTAAAAACCAAAGCAGGGGACAGTGATGTCTCAGAAAACCACAGGACTGGCAGATGTCCCACATGCTCATTCCACAAAGTGACAATGGAAAGTTTCAGGTCAGACAAAGGTGCCTAAATTGCTTCAGTACAAGTTCAGCATCTAAAAAAACTAAACTCGGAAGCTGTGAGAAGTTCAAGGCATTTTTTTTTTGTTGCTTAAATAGTTCATCCCAAGCAAAGGTTGAGTGGGATGGGAACCAGGGATGGGAACGAGTCATACCTTGGCAAGTCTGAGTCAAGTCTCGAGTTAAAACATTGAAGTCTGAATTGAGTCTCATGTCATTTGCCCTCAAGTCCAAATTGAGTCAAAGTCTTTCCATAATTTTTACTAAGTGACAAGTCATCAAATTTCTGACTCAAGTCCAAGTCAAGTTGAGACTCATGTAACTTGAGTCTCTACCTATGTCTGTTTTTTACCTTAAGTGATTAAAACTTGCTGCAGCAAAAACCTACCGCAGTACATTTAGGATACATTCTTCATAGCCAGAGATAGGTTGAGAGTGTCCACGTGCGATTATCCTCACACAGTTTTATGTCCATGTATTTGTAGAGAGTGACACATCTTTCTAACAAACTCTCTCAGGAGACTTTACATGCAGCCAAATAAAAATGCAGACAGCAGAGAGTCTTACCAGCAGTTTTACCAAGTTGAGTCACAAGTCATCAAATTTGTGACTTGAGTCCAAGGCGGGTCATAAGTCAGTGACTTGAATCCCCAACTCTGCTACTGACTGGGGTGTTTGATGGTGATGTCCCCAAGTGGGAGCAGAACAGTACCCTGATCATGCACTTACAAGGATTAGTGTATGGTCAGCTACTCGAAATCCATACTTGATTATGTACTGAAAAGTACTCACCAGAAGCATTACTGGTTAATATCGTGTACTTGAGAATGTCCAGAAGTCATCCCTGACATCATAAAACTAATTAGAATTTCGAAAGTGGTATTGCAGATGGATGGTGCAATGTTTCGTGTCTTCTCATGCTAGCCATTTTTAAAGGAAGCCTCTACTTTGAGCTCCGTCAAACTGCAAACTGCATTACCAAAAAGCAGAAACCCCAGGGTGAGCGATAAGCATCATTCCTGCAAACCATTACATCTGCCTCAGAGGCCATTCATCTCTGCTGTCTACACTCAGCGGGCATTTAGGGTGCTACTGTAATGGTGGAATCCTTAATGAACCCTACGACACTGAGGGATCCTGCATGGGACACTGGAGAGCAGTGAAACCTGGCTGAACAGCCATCTGTGGGAAGTGAGCTCAGGCCTTGCACTGCATCGATTACCTTGACTCACTGAGACAGAAAGTCAGACCTTGCACTGCATCGATTACCTTGACTCACTGAGACAGAAAGTCAGGCCTTGCGCTGCATCGATTACCTTGACTCACTGAGACAGAAAGCAGACTCTCATCACGGCAGGTTAGATGTCAACCTACAGCAGTAACAATTAGTTTGCAGCAGCTGTTAGAAGTTTGGTTTAAGTCTTTTTGTCAATAAATTACAGCTGGATGAAGGCAGTATCTCCTGAAAACGCTTCAAACTAGAACAACAATACAATTTATTACAAATAGCTGCTATAATCAATGACAAATCACCCTAAAATTCAAATCTAGCATTGTCAAAATGGTTAGCATTAGTAACCTTAAATTCGCCTTATTTCAGGGCAAATAGCAGTTTAATTTGATCAAGGTCGGAATGCGAAACACTGAAAAATACACTGAATATTGAAAGAGATGCTAATGAGACAGCTGTAGGGCAGCAGTGAGGATATCTGTGTGTGAAATAACAAGGTAAGCCTAATTAACATCAAAAAAGGAGTAGAAGACAGCACAGTCCAGGAAGGAAACATTATCCTTTCTCTAAAGAAGCAGGGACCGTTGTTTATGTGTGATCCCTGCATAATAAGGAGAAATGTATTAAGTACAGACAAGGGAGTGTCGCTTTTCTTTTTTTCCCAACAAGTAACTGAAATAACCAAGACGTCTTGATCTGGGGACCCGACCAGCGTTCGATGGTGAGATGAGACATTGAAAATCTTCTTCATGGACAAAAAGAGAGACCCAGCTGCTGCATCTCCAGTCCAGCCTGACCGTCTGTGAGATGCTGACTGTCTTCATCAAGCCAGGAGAGAGAGACAGGCGGCCAGGGTGAGGAGAACGAGCTTCTGCAGCTTCCCTCTGCCAGCCAGATGTTCAAACGTCTCTATAACCGTCACTAATCTCAGTCACACTGTACTAATCTTTTGTGAATAACATCAAACACATGTAAATAATACACAAGCCTGCTTGATATAATGAATCACAATAAACAGTAGTCCAGAAGCTTAATCATTACCAACTCAAAATATCAGTGTGGAAAATAGACCAGAATGACAAATATAAGGTTTAAAGTTCAATTGCTGATGGAATTTGCTTTAAGCGGGGAAGAAAAGGTCAAAGAGACTCCGAGAGCCAGCAGGGAAGGAGCGGAGAGGGTGTTGGAAAGATTTTTGTTTTGCTGCGATCATTTAATCAATTCAGCTATGTTAACTCCACATTTCTATGACTGATTCCAGTTCATTTCAAAACACAGTTTGGCTGTATTTGTCTGGGGTGTTTTCAGAAACATAGGGTTTATTAAATCTTTTTTCACCCCTGAGTTTGCGGTAGCTGCTCTAATCTTTCTAGGCGAATGGCTGTAATGGGATTTTCAGTCAGCCAACATGGAGTATTCGGCAGGAGGGCGAGAGACATTAATTTCCCTCACCTCCCCATCACAGCGCACCCAACCCCCCTGCCCCCCGGGGGGGGGGGGGGGGGGGGGGCTACGGAAGACCGGGCTGATTCTGGGACAGCATTCCTCACTTGCTGCAAGTCTCAGGAAGCAGGCTGAGATGAGACGAAATAAATGGTGGGGTTAGCCACCAGATATAAGTCTAAAATAGGTCTGGCTGTTAGCTAACATCATAATATCATAACCCCGGTGATCAACAGTTGATGGTAAGAAATATGCCTGAATAAACGCAAAGGCCTTTTAAGCAGGTACAAAAAATGTTTCTGCTTTTCTTAAACAAACAAAAAAAAACCTATAAAAGAATGTATGTAACATG